ATATATATGTATATATATTTTTATATTTATTTATTTATATATTATAATATCTTTTGTGTCCGCTTCTTGTATAAGTTCCAATCTCATCTGACACATTTTTCATGCATATAATTTTACTTCCGTAAGAAATAACCTCAGTTGATCAGTGCCACAGATAAAAATCATATTCTGCACTCAGCAAACCAACTATATGAGCTGAAGGTAACAGACTAGTCAGGAAGTTGAAAGAAATAAAGGCAAAAGATAGCAATATAAGCAGAACAAGTTGCAGAGCCAAACGAAAGACGAACAAAAATAGACAGAACAGCTGATGCGTTTATAACCCCTTGGAAATTGAAGCAAATTACTTCAGTAAAAATCATATCAATTCATAGATGTCCATAGTTAATTGGATTAGAGAAACTAAAAGAACTGACCGCAAGACTACACATAAATTAATCCATTGCTGGTATTTTTTATGATAAAAATTATTTATAAGCTACCATATCGAGCTGCGTTGCTTCTTGCATGTGTTTTTGTTCAAATTCATAAAACGCCGAACAACATATCGCGATCGACTTAAAATTCTTCGCTCTGAAGATTTTACTTAAAAATATTTTTGTTCGCAAATCATATTAAATTTTAAATACATCTGAAACTTCAGAAATATCAAAAATGCATTTAGCAAAGACAATAATTTAATTTTAGTGACGATTAATAAACCCTTACCAGTTGTTGGGTATGGTAAGCTGATACCCAACTGAACTGTGGATGTTACATAACGAAATAAAATACCAATTTCCATGTCGTCTAGAAGACCAGAATTTGCTAAAAATTATTTCTTTAGTGCAACGAAAAACTTTTATTTATAGTCTTAATTTTTCAAGAAAAATGATCCAGGTAGGATACTCTTGATGTTTCATATTCAATCAGTTTAGATTCTTCTACTTTTTTTACCTGCTTCAGCTAATTCATCAACGGTCATCGTCGGGAAACGCACCTCTTGTAGAATATCTTTAACGATAAGGCGTTTGTTCGCTACAGTAGCATCAATCCTACGGCGTTCACATTCCTATAATTAAAAGTTTTCATTTCCATCACAAGTCCATAAACGTAAATACTATCAAACTAATTTTGAATGGCTTAGAAAACGTTCACTTTTATTGAAAAACGCTGACACTTAACCCAAAATAATGCTCATCAGGAACTGAAGATAAATAAGGAATTAGCAAATTGAGTTAGAATATCATATATTACCGCTTCAGCCCAGTTACACACTGCTTTAAAGACAGATAATTCTCCTGATGGCGACAACTCGGATCGTTTAACAAGTTTCTTTAATGTTTCGATACTGACAGTGAGCAATGCTAGAAGCATCAAACTTTTAAAAATATTTCAAATGATGAATAAGAGTTGGAAAATTAAATTCTTTCAAAAAGTATCATATAAAATAAACATTAGCTTTTCTTTTAAAATTTTTACCATCTGATGACAGTGCCTCATCACTGCGTTCATCAATAACTTCATAGCAGCGTTCCAGCAATTCGTCTGAACCAAAATTAACTGCTTGTTCCAATAATGCCACTGCCAATGATGGAGTTAGTTCACCAAGCAATTCAACACAATGCTTTTCAAGAGCTGAGATTTCAAACTTCTTGGCTGCAAAATTTCTTTAACTGGGTAAAAACAATTTAAAAAATGATGGACAGTTTGAAAAGTTAATAATTACTGACAGGCATACCTGCATACAAAGAATTGAGTACCGCTGATTCAGCAATTTCAATGGTCGTTTCATCGAGATCCGAATACATGTAATCAATGATTGTTTTAAATGCTACAGGATCTATATCAGAAAACTCCACAGTGACCAAGGGCTGACTCAGATCTGCTGTAAACACGTAAGCTCATTTTGTCCGGACAATTTCAGTGAAAAAAAGGCTATCACTGCAGATTCTCAGCTCATACAAACTAGGTAGTCTAGGTAAAGTACAAAAAATACTGAAAAAAACTTTATAACTACAGGTGTACATAAATAAAATACACTTGCAGTTGTTTCCTGCCTCATCTAAACTTTAATTTTTATTACCGCCTTTTACATTCAACAAAATTAAAATGAAATTTGAGTATTTTACACATACATCCTTTACGCTTCTTTAATGCTGGTGATGAAGATTCCGCTTCACTGAATAACATTTTTTCGAATACTTTTGACCCAGCAGCCATTACCATACGATGAGCTTTAAATTGCTACAACAAAATGATAGACAATAAATAAAAGAAATGGCATACCACTATTATTATGCCCCATATCACTATTTTATTTATTGGCGGCTAGCATATCACTATTAATTTTTCTTTTTACATATATATTAATATGAGAAATAAAAAATGCTTAACTTGATCCTTCAAAGGATAATAAACGGTAAGATCATAAATATATTCATACTGAAATCATAATCAAAATAAAAGATACTACCAGCATATTTGATGGAGGTCCAATCACAAAAGTGACGTCGAAACCAATTCCGTTTTCTTTGAAATAAGCAACGCGTTCTGCAAGGCCCGGCTTTTTGTGGTAAATTTCTTTCACGATTTCGACTTCTTTTCTAGATGGTTCTTCAGACACAAGCATATCATGACTTGATGAGCGAACTATCGGTGGTGGTGGAATTGACATCTGTTGGATGGAATCTATCATAGGGATAGAACTACTGCCCTATAAAATATAGATTTTTTTTTTAAACCTTCTAAAACTTGAAGTAACTCCATTACCTCATCAGATTTATATAAGAAATATAATAATTGCAGAAACCATCTTCAATTATGCAAAAACCAAATTTTCTCAAAAAAATATTTATCGAAATGAATGATGCACATTGAAAACTGAAAACAATTTTGTTCACTATAAATAGAGTATTTCAAAAATTAGTTCATCAGAATACCATCGTTGGCACTGTTGAGCTTCCTGTAACAGGATAAAGGCTGTTACTAAGATACACTCTACTAGTGCCTGATGATCCTGCTGCTACTGATGGGGCTGAACGATGACTTAATTGTCCAATTTGGCGATTATATGCTTGATTTCCATTCGCTGTAGTTGTTGATGGTGGTGGCGGTGGTGCATATGGACGATGTTGTTTAGGCCTCAAAGATCTGAAAGTCAAATATGCATATGCAAATATTAAAAAAATAAGTTATTAAAAATTAATCCAACAAAAAGATTCAAATTTTAAACTAATAAAAATTTTAGAAAACTGAAACAGATTGTTTGCTTGACTATTTCTAATTTAAATAACAATTACAGTTATCAAATTATTTACATTTATATTATATAATTATTTTACTTACATATTTATATAGTACAGTATTAAAGCAGTAATATAGCTTACCCATCAAATCCCATTTCCAAATTGATATTTCTCGAAGTAACAAATAAATAAATGAGTAACTGCTGAAAGATAAAAGTAAAACTTATTTATGCTATTGATACTAGCTAGTACTAAGTAAGACTAGTAAGGCTATAAGCAAAAATAGACAAAGAAAAATAAATAGTCTACAACATATATAGTAGACAACTTTACAGTGCGCAAACATAGGAGACACAAGACATAGCACATAATAACACATCAAGACAGACAACTAAACATGATGACAGAAAGGTGAAAACCAACGTGACCTCTGACATTACTTTTCAAAAATTATTGACAAAATCATAATTAGAGGCCGAACCAATCCTCGCAGTATTTCATGGATATAAGGCACACTTCTATCTTAAATGGCTATTATTTTAAATTTATATCTGAACAAAATTTAAGCAAGTAATTAATAATAAGTGTATGAATATTTTTATTGATAAGTATTAGGTTTATATAATTGTATTTATAACAACTCTTATTAATTATGAAATATGTTAATTATTTTTGTAGCTATCAGTACAGTATTTATGGATTTTATTAAATATATAATTTTTATTATTGATAATAAAGGTTTTCTTTATATTTTAATTAATTTAAAGCAAATATAAGCAATCATTTTGGATTTCACTGAGAAGGAATAATAAATAAATGCTAACTATACTGTAATTTATTTATACTAATTGCTAAGTCAACAAAAAAATAAATAAATTACTGTTTAAAAACTTTTTTATTATATATTCTTAGTTTTTAAATATAATAGTTTGTTTAATTAATTTGCTGTTTCAATGCGCTATCATTAATTATTTAATATATAATTAAATTTCAAGTATATATGTGCTTGTGTGTGTTTGCGTGTATGCGTGTGTGTGCGTGTGCGCGTGCGTGTGCGTGTATATGCGTGTGTGCGTGTCTAAATATGCTTGCATTCCTTTTTAAAAAGTTTAAACGAGCTGAAAAAAAAGCATACAAAACGGAAGTGATTTTAAGGATTGAAGCAAAAGTACGTAAGTGAAATGGCTTTTTTTTTCAATGATTTATTTAATTTTTGCTTTAAATTATAGCGTAATAAATAATTCTTGACTTCTTTATGATGATAATAAACGTAAATATTCGCAAAATATTTTATCAATTTTCCGAATTTTTGCCAAATATTTGAATTTTCCGAATTTTTGCCAAATATTTGAATTTTCCGAATTTTTATAAATATTTGAATTTTCCGAATTTTTGTAAATATTTGAATTTTCCAAATTTTTGCCAAATATTTGAATGCAATTTTTGTAATATTAAATTTATTTTATCATCAATAAACTTTTTATTAATTTTTTGATACTTTAAATATTTTGCAAAACACTTATAATACTTATGCGATCACTCAAATCTTATAAAATCACTAATATAAAATAAACACAAATTTCAAATTACAAAAAAAAAAATTGCACTAAAATAAAATTTTCAACAAATTTTTCCTAAAATATTAGTGAAATTGTTATGATATACATAAAACACATAGCAAACAGCTTTGCTAAATTTATTTAATTTGTGCTTAAAAAATGTTTTGTGTAAATTATAGCAATTTTTGTGCTTTTTTTGCATAGTTTTTATCCAAAAATCTTTTTAAAAACAATTTTTTAAATCTCTTCTGAATACATTAACATTTTGTTCGTTTTTTGAAGCGAAATATCAAGCACAAATTGCAGGTGTTATAAATTTCATTAATATAATAAACATTGCTTGTTAATCTTCAAGTACCGTAATTTAATTGCTGCACATAAGGATAGAATTTAAAATTGAAATTGAATAAATCTTTTTAATGAAGTAAAATTTATGCAAAGTAATTAATTGTATGATAATGAATTGAAAAGATGTCTCGTTTACTTCAATATGTTTTTGTTTGCAGTGAGTTTTATATTTGAAAAAATTTTTTAGAATAATTCATTAATGCTAACTGAATCAAATTTCAAGCTAAGCATTACATTTTTTCATATTAGTTTCTAATTTCAAATATAAAAAACTAAATAGATTGTTGTAATCTTGTCAATTTTTACAAAAGCAAAATTATAATTTCACAAAATATTGAAGTTTTTTGTTGTAAAAAAGAAATATGAGCATATGATATTTTCAGTGATATATATTCATAAGAATTCAAAAACGTGAAAATTGACGAAGGTAAAATCTAAGTTGGATTATATATACTTCAAGATAATTATTAAGGTTATAACCTTAATTAGCACTGCTTTATATATCAGTATATGTTTTGCAAGCATATATCAAAAAGCTATCTATCCAGCGCTTTTAACAATTAAACGTTTATAATATGAAACAACAGATGCCAGATGCTCGCATTATTGAATTTAAACTTTTCTAGCTAACTTTTTTCGATTATATTCGACATCCGTATTATTCTACGTGAAAAAAAAATTAGTTAAAAAAGTCTCAATTTGACTGCCTTACAAATTCTGTCGTTTTTAAATCTTATTTTATGATATAGTAACAGTATATTTAATATAGAAAATAAAGAATGAATCGGAAGTAATCAGAATTTAAGTAAGTTCTGAAGTTTTTTAGTTTCTGCAAAGTGAATAAAAAAATAGAAAAAATTTAGAAGTTTAATGATTTTATAACAAGAATAAAAAAGCCTTTTCGTATTTATTAAAAATTTTTTGATATTTGAGTTAATTTATTTTAGTTATATGTCAATGAAATCATATGGGAATTTTCTTAAAAATTCATGAATTTTTTATTCACAAATATTGAAAAAAATAAAATGGAATGCTTATTATTATGACAATTATTCTTATATTTAAATTTGTGAAAAGAATTGGGAATTAAATGCAAATTTAATCCATTGCAAACAAAATGAACTACTTTATATTGCTGACTGAAAATTTTTCATAAAATTTAGCAAATTTGATAATTTTTTTTTCACATTTTTATTTATTAAATCATTAATACACTGAAATATTGTAATTTTTTGTTGACAAAAAAAAGAGTATCTTGAATTCAAATCCTTTTTAGGTCAAAAAATTTATTTAAAAAATATTTTCTGTTTGAAAATTTTTTTGAGATTTAGAAAAGTAATGAATTGTAAATAAGCATAAATGAATAAAAGTAAAAAAAAATTATTCAGAAAAAGTTTACGAAAAAATATAAATAGAAAAGATTTTATTCATTTTATATTTTTTTTGTAATTCGAAAAGAAGAAAACAAAATTCTTTCCAAATATTACTAAATATATTAGATAATTATATTCTTGGTATAACCAGTAATATTTTTGATTTTAAAATTCAAAAAAAAGGTTTCTCTGTTTGGGCGTGTCCAACACGTATCTTCAAAAGCCTGTGATCGCAAAAAATGTGAACTAGATTTAGACTAGGCCTTCAGGCTCACTTCATTTTATTACTGTTCTTCGTTAACCTCAAAATCAAGCCTAAGATGTCGCATCTGTCAGGATTAGCCATATTTGTGTTTCTTGGCATTACAATAATACTTGGAGAAAGATTCGAGTAAGTTATTTGCTTTCAATAAAAGCAAAAATTAAACTATCAAAATTTAGTTTTAAGGAAATCAGGATAATTTTTAAGGATAAAAGTAAAAGTCATTACTAGTAAAATTCAAAATTACAATTGCTTAATTTATTTAAAATTGAAATGTATCTAAAATTTTTATTTCAAAAAAAAAGGACTTTTTTATTTTTGATGTATTAAATTTTTATATACCAAAAAATTTGACAATAAATAAATTTTAAACAAGTACAGATGGGATTAGTGATATCATGCAATTTGGTTATTAGCTAGCAGCGAACTTAGCTGGCATGAAAAAATTACTCTCATAATTAATTGCAATTTGTGTTTTAAAAAATTTTTATATTGTCAATATAAATAATTTTAGCATAATTTTTATCTAAATATTCATATTTAACCAATAATGCCTTTTACATTTTATATGTGTGCTAGAATAAATCGCAATTTTAAAATTAAATTATTAAACATTATGCAATTTTCAACTCTAAGAATACTTTATAAATAAAGGAAAACTTTTTTAAGTGAATATTTTATTATTTAATAGAATGAAGAAGAATATTGGCACAGTATGAAATGACAAATATATCTTTTCAAAGTATTTAAAAATTCAAAGTATCATATAGAAATGCATGAATTTTGTATATTTTTCATTATTTCAGGAGATAAAATTAAGCAGAAAGCAAATTGACAGCTATTTATTAGTTCAGATGGATTTGAAATTATAAAGTTTCGGTGGGAAAAATGCCGTAAAAAAAGCCTTCAATCTTTTACTGACGCAAATAAATCTCGTAAAATTTGTTGTTCTTATTAAAAGGTTATTGACAAAGTATTTGGGCTGTGTGAACATTTGACTGAAATAAAAAACTGTCGTGCATTATTAACATTAGAAAATTTTTTAGATGCCAGTTTGTAAGTATTTTATTACTGCTATTCCACAAATAATCACATATGACATTGCATTGTGTTGTTTTGCAGCAAAGATTATTGGTATTTTTTCATAAATCAGACTAATTTCTGATTTTTATGTATCAATTCTTATAAATCAATAAACCGGATTAATTTATGTATCAATTTTTTGTATATATCAGATTGATAACAAATGTCATAGTGATAAGACAAATTTGTTGTTACTGTTATTTATTTAAAATAAATTTTAAGGTGGATAATATTAAGTATACATTATCGTATTTATTTGTTTATGACTTAAAATGTATCTTATAATGTAAATATTTATTGAGATTGAGGGACATCTCTTTACTTGCAGTCTCAAGCTTAAGCACAATTTAATCCAGACTGTTCTTTTTCTTAAACACATTTGCATAATCACATATGAGTTTGAATAAGTTATTTTTTGCAACACTTTTTTAACATTCATTATTTTAACCTAAACCAAATTTGATTTTTTTGCCTCAACTAAATAAAACCAAGAATATCTCTGCGCAAATATAAAAATTCGGATTAATGTCAATTTTTGAACTTTTATAATTTCTGATTTTTTATATTATAAGACTGAAAGAATTTATTTAAGAACTAAAAAGATTATAGTATAAATTATTTTGGAATAGTTTACTCCTAAGTCTGCGACGTGAGCAAGTAAGTGCGAGAAAACGAATTACTAATCTCAACAAAGCTATCAAATAAATGTAAACCGTGTACAAAAATTTTGCGTGTGTGCTAAAAACACAAGCATCAGAAATAATTCTTACAAAAATATTAAAATATTACAGTAATAAATGCTGAAAATTATTGTAACGATTATGAATTAGCAAAAAATTTTGTCTTCTCACTTTGTTCAAAAAGAATGAATGCATTTACTTTTACAAATTTACTCAAAATAGTTTTTATTGAAACTTTGAAAGCAAAAGTTATGATTTATTATTATTGATAACTATTTCAAACTCACGTGGAATCTTTTGCTAGAAACTTAAATGAAAACCGTACTGAAATAATAGCGAAATTGCTGTAGTTTATAGGTAAAATTAGAATAATAATAGTTAAAATCAGAATAAATTTAGAAATGGCTACCAGTGACCAATGGCTACTTCTTTTGTCCAAAGTTATCATTTTCAACTTAATAAAACAAAAACAAAACAAAAAGTAAAAAAAAATGTGAAAGCAAGCAACATATTTTAGTGCTACATTATACTTGAAATTTATGTAAATATATATTTTATTAAAATAGCTTTCTGTCTAAAAAAATTTGTAGCAATTTGCTATGTACGTATTATTTCATTGAAAGATCCGTTATGGTTTTTTCCAAGAAAATTACATCAAAAGTAATTTAAGTATATAAACCAAAACTGAAATAAAGTTTGGATTTATCTAAATTTTCATTTAAAATATTTCATTTAAATTAATTCATTTAAATAAAAATGAAAAGCACTGAACAAATTTATGCAAATTTTTTTATAAAACAGAAACAAATTTCTATGTTTTTATATTTTTATTCCAAAGAAAATAAAAATTCAAATTGTCATTAAGGCAATACTTACTTGTACTGCTGGTGCAAATTGCAAGTTACGAACTTTCTATAAAATAATAATTCAAATTTTGATTATACAAATTAAAAAATAAGTAAACTTACTTTCTTACTATAGAATATCTGTAACTAAAAATTTGTTTCAGTTACTGTTAAAAGCAATGCTACAGAATTTTTAGACATTTATCCACCTGTGATTTATTTGCAGAGGAGTGACATTTGTTGAACGTAACGAACGTGCACCGAAACAGAGATTCATCCGTTTTGGTCGTCGAGATCTGAGATTCCCCGATGACAGCAGGAACTCAAGAATTCCTCTTGACTGGGTATGTGTCTTTTTTTTCGCATGTTTTCTTTATTTAAAAGTTACAAATTATAATATTGGGGAAATATACTTTTTATCTTAATACTTATGCAAATATCTCATAATATTTGAAACACAAGTGAATTATTATCGAGAATAGAACAGAAAATTCAATTATAAAGTATGCTGTAGCTTACTTTTCGATTGATAATTGATAAAATATGATTAATTTTTTAGAGAATGAAATATATTCAAAATAAAAATAAAAAGCAAGCATAGGAGAAAAAATTGTTACTCATAAATAAGTTTTATTTACTTAATTACTTATATTTGATTGAACAAATTTAATTACATTTTAATTTTTATATTTTAATTTTAATAATCTGCTTCTACTACAAATATTATAAGATACATGTAAAAAAGTATCAAAATACAAGATACATTACTCTAACTTCATAATTAAATTTGTGAATTACTGTGAAACGCTATGCTTTATCATTACTGCTTGAACCATTAATTTATTAGCTTTATCATTATGCATATTACATTCTTTTCAAATCTAACTTACAAGTGATAAAATTTAAACTGTAAAATATATATACATGTGTATATAATTTAAAAAAGTGACAAAAAGTTTATTGAATAAATAAAATTAAAATTAATATAATTAATTATTGTATGCATTAAGTTGCTACAAAAATAATTACATGATAATTGTAGAATGGTGAAGATTTGCAAGCGTTAAATGCAGCAGAAATGAAACGTATGGGAAGTCGATTTATTCGATTTGGTTGACTTATACTTACTTTATCAATCTGTGATACAACTTTTGGTATTAAAAATATTAAATAACATTACTAGGCATATGTTAGTAGTAATATGCCTTTACTGCTGCTACTGCCGCAGAAATAACTGTAATGTATGTGTATGTGATAATGCAAATATGCATATTTACATTAAACTGAATTGTTACTTTGCTATCTAATTAATAATTATTTATTAAATACTATACTTTTGTTAACTTTTACATTTTACACGTAATCAATAAATTTATTTGATCTAAACAATTTTATCAATACACCTTTCCTACATAACAAATACGGAATTGTGCTCAGTACCAAAACAAACTATACTCAAAGCAAAGAAATGCATTTGTATGCATTGAAGAAAGTGAATAAGTCTAATAATACACATGAAATATTGCTTTTTTACTACAATACTTTATCTGCTTCAATACACATACAATACGTGAAGTTCACTTCAATTAATTATTCATATTATATTTATTATGAATAATTAATTATGAATAATTACTTTATCAGTAACGATAAAAGAATTGCTGCAATTAATGAATTAATTACTAAAGTTACGAGTAAAAAGCAAATTTA